CGTGCCTCGCAGCATCTGGCAGGCCGAACACAATATGCTGCACCTTGTTGTATACCCTCCGGCATGTTTGAAAGGCCTTGGACGACGGATTGGACGATAGATCGTGTAGGTACGTCTGGAATAACCAGAAGGTCTAGGAGATTGTGAGCGAGTACGGCAGCGCAACAGCGGGGAGACGAAACAAACCAGAAGTGCAGCGGTGACGGACTCTTCGCACAAGTCCAGGAGGAACTCCTCCAAGGCCATGGACTCGTTGTCGACGCTAATTATTAGGTGGCATAGCTGCGGCAGGAAGAACTCGATATCCTCGTAGGGGAATTGTCGCAGCTTATTGCAAAGGACATAGTGAATGCCCACATGGTCGGCGTAACGACTAGAGGAAGGAAAGATCAGGGGTTAGCAGAGAGGTCGTTCCAATTGCCAATCACCGAAACAAGCGCCAATTGAGAGCATAGCGCATGACGGCGACGGGGGAGGGTCGCTCACGAAAGGTAAGAGACCGAGAGAAAGGGGTTCGAGTTGAAGACGTCGGACTCAAGGAATCGCTTGAGCAGGTCCCACGACATTGGTTACGCCACGGAGCGGAATGAAGGATGCAAGTGCAGCGAGGCTCGGTGCCTCATTTGATCATGGACATGAACGGGATTCGCAGGTCGAGGGATGGTTTCGCATGGCGGGAAGCTCAGAAGACTTGGGAGAATTGTTCGAGCAGTTGCAGCAGGGCACGCAAGAGGATGGGAGACAAGACGCCCAGGTACACACGGTGGCCGGTTACTCGATGCAGATAGGTAGCTCCCTCTCCGCCGTGAATTGGATGTCGATTTGTCCACTAATCTGAGGGCATGACTTGGAAGGTGGGAGGAATGCCCCATGCACGACCCGCCGTTTCCCAGTACTAGTGCCTAAAAATTCTGGCCTCAAATTAGACTACGTCGCCGGTTACCTCAGCGAGCATGAACCTTGGCTCATGGTGCCGCTGAGAGCGGGAGCCTCTGAGGAGGGGGCCAGCCGCACCTTGAGAGTGCCGGACCCGAGAGGATCAAGGTCGCGCGCTAGAACGCATGGGGGCGACGGCCAAAACCCCTGTCTGCGGGGCATCATCGTTTTATCTGCATATGTGACGTTATTTGCATTCGATTCTTGAGTTCCCTTTCTGAGTTTCCAGTGGTGAGATTTCATTCTCATGTTGAACCTATGAGGCGAGAGTCTCATTGACAGAGAGGGCAAAATGGAGAATGTCACTCGATGAATGAAGCATGCTCTGGCAACAATGTCAAGCCCAAGTGTACCACACAATAAGGTACGAATAAAATACAGCCACTTCATATGAGCAGGGTGTCTTTGAGTGAGCGGAAAGTGAGTTCCACATGAGACGTCCCCTGGTGAAGGTACCTACCACAGCCAGACGCTTCAAGGCGCGGCTTATCATCATCCCGTGCACATTATGAGAGGAAAGGTGTGCAAACGATAAAATGCTTCCATTCTAAAATCGTAAGAAGACTTGTCCAAGACAGGCTCGATGCGCATACAGAAAGACAAGCCGTCCGTGGCATGCAAGTCGAGGAAGCAGCGCTTGTTCCTCCGTTCCATAAGGTAAACCATGTAATATTTCCCCCCAGGTGCGGCTCGACGAGTGTATCGCCGTGTCACCCAACGCCAATGTAGATGCTAGCCAGTCCAACGCCAATCCTCATAACCCTTTTCATATTTCTCATCATGGGAAATTTCCTTTCCCTTCTCTTCCCTCGCCTCAAGACCCAAGCTGAACATGAGAAAACTCATGCAGCGGCCTTCTTCTTACGGCCGCCCTTGCCCTTCTTCTTCGTCTCAACTTCCATTTCCTCGTCGCTTGACGACTCAGCCTTGGAGCGGCCACCTCTCTTCTCTTCGTCGCCAACCTTTGCAGCAATGTCGGCCAAGAAGTCATACTGGCCATCTGTCTCGATGACTTGCTTGAGCATCTGAGCCGTGACACGCTTGGAGTTCTTCTCCCGTGCGATTTCGGCACTTCGGCTGACAACAGCAATCATGAACATCTCGAGAGCCTTACCAACAGCAATGGGAGTCTGCTGGGCGACCTTGCCAACCTCCTCATCAGCCTGCATGATACGCTTTATCCTGGCTGTGGGGAACTTTGTCCGAACGGGTGAAGGGTCAATCGGAGGTGGCGAGTCAGCCTGCTTTGTGTTCTTTCTGGGAGGCATAGTTGCTGAAGCTGGTGTTTGTGGTAGATGTTGTGTATCTGGGTTGTAAGGGATATCGTGTAATTGGGGTGCTCCGCCAAAGTTTTTTTGGTCTAGAAATCCGTGGCTTTGAGGTGTTTTGGGCTGATGAGCTTGCTGTTCCTGGTAGTTGAGAACGGGCTGTATCCCATAGGCGCTTTGCATATGTGGTGGGGGATATTGCGGAGATGGGTGGTTGTGTGGCGGTGACTGGTGGTGGTATTGAGGAGATAGGTAATGTTGGTGGTGTTGGTGGTGTTGGTGCTGCTCCTGCTGCTGTTGTTGCTGAAGCGGTTGGTACTGGTGCTGGTGCTGGTGCTGACCTTGGTGGTGGTGGGGTTGTAGCGGTGGCTGATAGGAAGAGAATTCCGTTTTGATTGCCGCTGGTGATGGGAAGTGGGGCTGCTCTTGTTTGATGTGAACAGGAGTAGAAGATGACTGGCTTGGGTGGTGAATGCGTGCTGAGGGGGAGGAGTATTCATATACGGGCGGTGGTGCAGCAGACGCAGACGGAGACGGAGAGGTTTGGAGCTTGCTCAGTTGTTGCTGGTAGTGCTGCAGACTGTGAGTGTGCAGTGGAGGTGTAGGCGGGGCGGGTGCTGCCGAGAAAAAAGAAGAGAGGTCCGGCGACTTTGGTGCGTAGGTCGTGTCGTCCGCCATTTTTATTACTTTTTCCCCCCTCTACCTCCGGCCCTGCTGGAAAAATTGATGGCCGCTTTTTTTTTCAATTTGGAAGTGGAGGCCAAACGACAGGGGGCCTTGGCTGGTGCCCCGAAAAAAATTGGCCAAGGTTCCAATCCAAGTTTGGCTGGCGTGGGACACTGGATGATTAAGCGAAGGGCAGGGACTGATTTCTGAGTACAAAAGCCAGCCTACACCCCCACCTCTTTCTTGTCCGCGTTTGCGACACCTTTTGCTTTAGCAGGAATAATCTTGCAATGGTTGTGTGATTGCGTCTAATGATGGATGTGTTCCGTATTCAGTCGTTAAGTGGGTATATGTCCAGGAAAGTATGGCGTATAAGTCCTGATTCAGGCGTGGGCTGCTACGTGCGGTGAAAGGAATGACGGTCTGTTCTACCGTCATATATCCTTGGGAGTCAAAGGTGTAAAGGTCCGACAGACGTACGGCCAATCCAAGTCACGTCGAGGGTGACAGTAAATCGAGGCAGAATATTGCTGCGAAGCTCGGCTTGAATATTGAACACAAGGCGAGACAGAGCGCAATCGACTTGTGAGAAGTGTGGGTGTTTTGCGTGTGTAAGGCAGCCTCGGCCAACGTGTTGGGCAGCGCTGCGATACAAGAGCAAATGACGAAGAGATGAGATCAAAGCCAATAAACGGCCTACGACATGAGGGATTCGTAGTATCCTCAGTATCCTAGCCTGTTTGCAACAGTGTACCGGACCTAAACGGTGGATGGCAGGATGTTGAGCAGGACTGTCCAGATAACTGCTTTGCAAACTTGGCAATCAAGGTTAAAACTGCGTCCCAGGTCCAGCAAAATGAACCGGCCACTTGCAGTACAGAGAAGATCCAGGCTCACTGGGCTCTCAGTGAGTCTGCGTGGATGTCGAGACCCAACGTCGCAACTGGCCAATCCTGGTATTGCTTCGGATGCAGTCTACGTATGCCAGACCGCGTGAGAGTGAGAGACTCAGTGTAGCCTGAGGGGGTGATAAATACCGACTGACGTCGGGAGCGTGGCTGTGACACAAGCTTGTCCGAGATGTTGATATGCCAGATAGGTGATCTACTGATCCAAGGTGTGTAAATGGCGTTTTTGCTGAGTCAGACCTGGAGACTTGGAGTGACACTCAATAAGGTTTCGGTGTGTCTAGCGAGCCAGGGGTGATGGGAGTTCTGTAAGCTTGGGGCTTTCGGGGTTCAGTCCTGGGGCGTGCGACGGCGTCAGGCGTTCCTGTGCGGGGCAGCAGCGGTACTTTCGGAAGCGGCCTGATGCTCTGATATAGTGGTGGGAGGTGTTCAGGATGGGGGAAAGGGAAGGTTGCGTTTGAACGGGATTGTAAAGTGAAGTTATGTACGGAGTAGGAGAAGGAGGAGGATTTGTTGGCGTTGATCTTTTTCCAAGATCCAGGTGTCAAGGTTTAGTCAATGCAGCCTCAAAGTTGACATGCGTCCATCGGGAAGGATGCAGTCGGTCTGACAGGCAGACGAGGCAAGGCCAGGCGGCAAGTAGGTAAGGTAGGCGCAGACACACAAAAGTACAGGGAGGCACAATCTGGGCGCAAGCACACCAAGAGTGCACCTTCTCGCAACCTGCCCTGGAAATTGAGGTGGTAGATGGGCTGGAACGAATGGGAATGATTGGATAGGAAGGACACTGAATGGGAGGGAAAGAGCGACGGCCGTGGGACGATGCGACGGGTCGAGAACCTGCGGAGGGGCGAACGGCGATGCGGTGCGGTGGTGCGGTGGTGCGGTGGTGCGGTAGGTGCGGGTGCGGTGCGGTCGGTGGCAGGTGCAGCCAGCGGCTGGGTGGGCTCCTTCTTTTCGCGGTGTGCGGGTTCCTTCACTCCTGGCGATGGATCACGGTGGGAATGTCCACCGTTTATATGCGCGTCGCGGGTCAGAGCTCCTTCCCAACTCCCCTTTCTTGCTGCCCTCTGCTTTCCCCCCCAAAAACACGCCTAGGCAGGGGTCACGCTGCTATGCTGATTGGGTCAGGATGCCCGAGCCGTGGCCACGCCTTCCCAAATCCTGCATGAGCACAGCCGCTAGTCCCCTGCTTGACGGCCTCTGTACCTTTCTGTGCTAATTAAGCTCTGTTGGTACCTGCCTGGCCATCCACCTTCCTTCCATCAGGGAGCACGGAAGGTAAGGTATCTTCAAGGCGTCCCGAATGTTCACATTGCGCCCACGTCGGCACGTCCTTCTCCAGTTCCATTTCTTGAACAACGCTTCTTTTCTCCTTCTCCTCCTTCTTCTTCCTCTCCCAACCTATCGGGATCTTTTGAGTCATCCTGTTCGCGCCCAAGAATAGTCGCACCTCATCGGCGTCATCACTAATTTCGCCACATGGTCGATGTCTCCCCCTTCGTCCCAGCTTACCGCCGCATGTCGCAACCTCGCAGACGTGGCTGCATCTCAAGGCGCGAAGTAACGTGAGGCAGGCTGAAAAGGATGGCTCAACCGAAGCAAGGTAGGCCACGGCAGGCTGGCTGATCTCTTTTACCGTCTCAGCTCCAACTCCCATCATGTCGTTTCGGCCCCTGTTTTCAGATTCTAGACCTGGCATTTGCGCAACCTTGGACTTCGAGAAAGTCTTGTCTCGTTACTCTTCATTCTAGATATGCCTTTATACCTCGTGGCCCTGACCTACGTACGAGCTTGCTTTGTCTTCATGAGACACCCAACATCGTCGAACCCCGCCGCCATCTGCCCTCAATGCTGCCTGGAGCTGGCACCCTCCCTGCTCCTTAGGCAGACGAGCTCTTTCTGCAGCGCGCCATCATCACGGAACCCCGTCGTCCGAAAAAGATGTTTTCTGTCGCAAAGCCGTCGCGCTCCTCGACTCGTCAGTGTTTGAACCACACATGACTTCATCCGAGACCCACCACAGCTCCCTGCCCGTCTGAGCTTTGCGACGGCACCTCGAGTGAATGCCCCCCCCCCCCCTCTAGGTCGCCAATCGCCCTTCCCGCCGAAGCAGCTTTGCAGTGGGGCCACCTACGAAGAACTTATCTGCATCCTTCAACGCGTCTTCGTGAAATGTTTGTCAACGTTTTTCTGAACAGATATCACCCTACCACCATCGTAATTTCCTGTCGGCGGACGGCCCGGTATGCAGGAACGCAACTCAATCATGCAGGTAATCAAACCACTAAATTCTATTATTTACGCCATATCCTATTGGTGGCCAGGGATGAAGATAACGAAGAGAAACAGCTGGAGACCACCCCAAGAGGCCACAACTGTAGAAACCGAGTTATCCCAACTCAGGTTTCGAGGTTGGCGTGCCTCGGTCTATGACAGTTTTTACTTGATCTAATCAGACTTTTTTCTAAAAACACCAATCTGCCTTTAATAGGCTTTCTACTGGATGTGTTTTCTGATGGCTAACGTGAGTGTCCGCAGACCCTTGAGTCTCTTGTCTTCGGTGCTTGACAGGAATAACGAAACAACGGGCCAGGCGTGTATCCCGCCATCCTCGCTACGACTGTCGACCTCGGTACTTTTGACCAAGACGTTAATCAGGTCCTTGATGTCGGGTGCGAACACCTCTTCTGATCCGTACGTGATGAAGAAGCCACAAAGTGGACTAGCTTCCGCCCACACCCGAGGATCGGCGCACTGCCCAGGCGACGCGGTCTTGTCGTAGACATGCGCTGCCCCAGCATACTGCACCGCGTATTTCCATAGCGTGTCGCGATCCAGAAAGTCGCTGGTCGTATTTTCATGCTTGTTGGAGATGAGCTTGGCCCACGGCGAAATCAAGACGCAAAGCCCTGGAAGCGGGGACTCTGAGGCTTGACGCAACTGCTCCTGGCTTCGACCTTCAGATGCGGTGGAATCGTCACTCTTTTCCTTGAATGCCCGGGCCTCGTTCATGTGACCCAGCTCCAGTAACAGCGTCAATATCAGGGTTGCTCCCGCTGAGTCTCCTGCAACGACCACCTTCCGGGGGTCTCCAACTTTTTTCAGGACATGCTTATAGCCCCTCAAAGTCTCGTACATTTGCCTTGGATACATTTTATCGGGCACGAGCGTGTACTCGAGAGAGAATATGGCAGGGTTCCGGTAGCCGGCTTGGACGAGTAACGAGTGCCACGACAGAAGAAACTCGAGGTAAAAGTACGCGGAGCCCATGGCGAAACCGCCTCCGTGGGCGTAGTATACCACAATGTCGGGCGGTTGCGACGCATCCTTTTGGATCCAAACCCCTTCGAAGCCGTGTTGGCCCTATCATTCAAGTCAGCCACCGGCCATTGTGCACTGAGATGTAGGTTACACTCACCTTTTCCTTGTGCTCACTCCAGGTCGCAGGTGACCTGAGATAGCCATGCCGCAGCATTCGAAACCGCAGAAACGGCAGAGATATGTACTTTGAAAAGAAGACACGTCCAATATTGGTTGGCAAGTTTGCAAAGGCGTAACGCACGCAGCGTATGACTAAATCTTCGAAGAAACTCGCACGCTGCACAAAAGGCGACTGCTCATCGTGGCTGAGTAGATATCGCTCGTGGAACAGGGACGTCGGCAGTTGAAACACGAGAAAAGGCAGCATCTTTAGAGTGACCACTACCGTTGGGAAGAAACCGACATTGATGAGGAGCTGTGGCGTCAGGAAGATGACAAAGACCAGACAGTCGAGCAGTGATACCGGTCCGAGGATCATGGTGGGCGGCGATGCTGCAATTGTTGCACCGAACCGTGGGCCGACTTATTATTCCAAGCGTGACGTTACGTAGATTATAAAATTGCGGTGCAGAGGTGGTCGTGTTGTATCAGAGGCGCCAATTGGATTTATCGTGAGCCACAGGACAAATCTGGAAGAGAGGAAGAAAAGGAAATTGAAAATTGAAGCAAAGACTGAGGTCGATGGTAGGAGGGGAGCTTGTCTCCAGATTAATGGTTTCAAGGTTGTAGCTTCGGACTTCTCTCGATAGGCACTACCTTGAACCATTCCATCCCTCCCTTGGCCGCCCAAACAATCGATTTCCCACGGCGTGGGCTAACGTAAGACTGAGAAACGAGAAGCTTTTGGCTTTCTTTCGTGACGTCTTCGAGGTTACGGAAGGCAGTCCCCAGTGTCCGTGCCTGCTCAGACACTACCTACTACCTGGTGCGGGGGGCGGCGCACACTTGTTTCCTGAGCTTGATGGTTTGTTGGGGAGAGCTGGAGCTCTTACCTAAGGTAAGGTGCCGAGCACCGGTTTAACCCATCCATTTTCATTACCTTGGTCGGGGATGGCGACGGGAGCATGTCAGCACCTGCCGCGACATTTCCATCTTTACATTTTATGGTGGTAGTGAGACCAACCCAGCGAGGAGGAATTACCCAGACCTTGGTAGATCTGAATCACACGTCCATCTGGATCAAGGAAAAGCGAATGGTAGCGAGCAATGGGGTGCGAAGCCTTCCATGTCATCCCTTGTTGGGCTTTTTGGCTTGTGATTGTGGAACATGTATTTCACCACATACAACTTGGTCATGTTTAGGAAAGAGTGCAATCAGTATCCCTTTTCCCCTACAAGAGGTCATGGGGGTTGGCCAGTTGGCGTCGCTTCAAGAAAAAGGAGTCCCTTCTAGCAATATGGATTACTCTTTTTATTTCAAAGGTACTCGATACACTCTCATGCCCCCGGGAAACCGGTATGCCCTCCTCGCTCATCCTATAAGCTAGAAAACGCCAAAATAGTTCATGCTCACATCCTAGCCGGACATCGACAGAGTAGAGAATTGATGAGGGTTGCGTGAAAGGAGGCAATATCTCAACCTCCGCCCTCGTCTCTTTTGACCTCCCCTCCGTATTCTCTGTTTCTTGCTTGGGGAGGCTTTTTTTGCATAAAACACAACACCAAGACGCCTTCGTCAATCCTGATCCGCACACGTACAGTACTCACACATCATCCACGCCATGGTTCCTCAACCCCCCATACCGCGCCACCCCTGGAATATGACCATATCTCTCATCTGCTTCTTCTTCACTCATCCCTTCTTCCTCTTTGCGTAGGAAAAAAAAACGATAAAAAGACTACCGCTTGGCATTCCGCGTCTTCCAATTATCCTTGATCCCCTTAGCCGCCTCCGCAAGATCCTTCTCCGTAACCCGGTCCTCGATACTCTCCATGACGCTCTTGATGGTAGAAATGTGATTCGCCTCCGACTTGTCGTCGCGAAACCGGATGATCCGCCACCGGCCCAGGTCGTCCTTGTGACACTCCACGATGCGGTCGTTGAGCGGGTCCCCGAGTCCCTTCAACACCTCCCACTCCTCCTCTGTAATATGCACCTCGTCAAAGAACTGATACCGCCCGTCCCCCATAAAACTCCACAGCTCCGCCCGCGGCACGGCCTCGTAGTCCACAAAGGGGCCCTCGGCCTCCTCGTCCCCTTCCCCCGGCTGCACCGTAGGGAACGTCATCCGCAGCCGGCAGTCGACCGTGTTCTCTTCCGGCGGCTTCCACTTCAAGATGTGCGGGTCGGTGCCGTGCTTGTACTCGCTGCTGACGCACGTGAAGATGAGCCCGTCGTTGCCGTGCCTCAGCTTGGGCAAGATCTCGCGAAACATCATCTCGATGCCGTAGCTCAGCTGCATGGCCTTCATCTCCACCAGGAACGGCTGGAAATCCCGCTCCTCCGGGTACTGCTTGAACAAGTCCCGGTAGGGCTTGTAAATGTTCTCGTTGAAGTAGGCGAGCCGCTTGTCGAGCGTCCGCGACATCAGATCCTGTCCGTCCAGCACGAGGCAGTCAAAGACGAGGAACCGCGGCTCCTTTGTGCCCTTTCCCGTGTCGTCCATGACCAGCTCGCCGTCGATGAGCGTGCGCGTGTGGAATTTGGTCAGGTCGTCCTTGCGCGGGAAGTGGAAGCTGCTGTTCTTGATGAACCAGTAGTCGTTTTTCCGGTCGATTAGGTAGTGGATCTCCCGGCCCTCGTCTTCCGTGAGATATAGCAGGTACCGGATGCCGTCTGACTTTTCGCAAACATAGTAGCTGTTGTCACGCTCGCGAGCGCGTTAGTTGTCAGCGAAAAGAGTTGCAAATCACTAATTCCTCCCAGCCTCCGTTTATCATGGTTCCGGTAGCCAAAGGCATTCGCCGAATAAACGTGTGCAGAGACTGGAGGCTGTATGAACGGCGCGACAAGGAGCACTCACTCTCTATTCCGTAACTCATCGACGTGTTTCCGCGCGAAGCTGACGGGCTGTGCGCCGGGGAAGCTGGTCTGGTTGCGATGCAAGAGATTGGCGACCTCGCGGCGCAAGTCGAACAGCAGTTGACCGTCGGCCTTGATGCCCGGCTCTGCGATCGAGGCAATCGGGCCCTCGGGAGGCGGACCCTGTACGCCATCCATGGTTGCGGATGGACCTTTTTTTCTGGTGTTGCGCAAAAGGGGGAGAGAAGGAAGTACAAGTCGGTTTCGGTCCTCCGTTGGTCTAGGTAGCCTCGCGACACCAAAGTCTCGGAGCTTTATCGGCCTCTTATCGATAAGGCACTGAGATAAGACCGCCCGTGCATCAACACCGTCTCTGTAGTCTTTCAGAATTCACATCCTGGATAAATGAGCTCTTCACAGGATTCGAAGGCTCTGCTTCAAACAGATACCTCTTACAGCCTCATCGACAAGGCTTGCGAGAGAGATCCAGCCGCTCATTGAGGCCAACTCTGTGACCAACGAGGCCAAACACTAGAAAACGTGACGTATTTCGAGTATAGTACTTTGAACTGAGTTGATTAATTGCCTTTCACTATCCCATGACTTTTACGAATGTCGAATCCCTCGTAAACGCCAAATGAGTTTTGCTTGTCCCACGTCAGCCACCCGATAGACTCAACGCCTCATCAAATTATTGGAAACAGCTCGAGGCCTCTGAGCCCTGTCTGTCTTGATATCATTGCGCGATTTCCCTTTCTCCCTAATGAACCAACCATACCCTCAACTTTCGTCAATCTTGGCGACCTCGGCTTTGGCATCCTCCCAGGTCTCCTTGTTCTTCTTGGCCCACTCAATTTGGCTCTTGGCATAAGCCAGCTGTGATAAATCGGGTCAGCACGGAATCGCTCCTAGTCCTGTACTGATCAATCAACTTACCATGTAACGACGAAGGTCCTCTTCCTTCTCTCCCTGGAATCTCTTCAAGTCCTTCAAAATGCTTGCGCTAGCCTCCTTCACATCATGCTCAGAGACCACTTTGGCTTGCTCAAGCTGCTCGATGCTCTCCCTTGTCTTCCCAATCATGTCACGACGAGTTCTCTCGGGGTCGACGTCAGCTACACCTTGAATAGCGTGACGAATCGGTCCGAAAATCTTGTTCGTGATTGAGTTGCTGCTCGCGGCCTTCTTATGGCCTGGAGTTGAGTTGCTTCTCTGTGGGACACCCTGGGTCGCGGTTGGGACCGGCTCGCCATGGGTAGGAGGGAAGTCGGAGTCGATGGAAGCTGTGTCTTCGGCACTGCCCTCGCGCTGATGGTGTGATGTGTTAGCCTCTCTAAGGCTTGTAGACCGCTTCGGCGCTGGCGCAATTTGCTGGCTGCTGCTGAGATATTGCTCGATGCGCTTGGCCTCTTGCTCGCTGCGCTCTAGTTGGTCCAGCAGCGCAATCTTCTTGCTGAGTTCGTCGCTAGTCTGCTCTTGCTGTACCCGCTTGAGCACCCTGTACTTCAGCACGCTGCGAACAACACCTGCGAACTGCGCATTCTCTCGCATAGGCTCTGCGAAACTGGCACCGAGAGATCCAGAAAGCTCCTCAGTAGCGATGTAGGAGGAGTCGGCCGCCTGTCCCACTCTCTCGAGGGCAGGGCCCAAAGAGGGTGCCTGTTCTGATAGCGCGAACGCATTAAACTTGGAGCCCAGTTCGCAAAGATCGGCGGCCAGTGCAGACAGGTGGCTCAGGGTCCGACGGTTGACCTTCTCCATGGACCCCGACAACAGTTGCTCCAGTTCCTTGATCGATGCCTCATATGTGATGAAGTAAGGGTCAAGTTCTTGCTCGCTCAGGGTGTGGCTGTCGGGAGGGAATCGGCCAAAGACATGGGACCCAGTTCCAGCGATCGCGCCGGGATCGACACCAGGGCCGCCCGTCGTCTTGAGCTTAGCGGAAGCTGATGGTACGGGAAGGAAGTTGTGAGCAGGCGTAGGGTTCGCAGGATCCAAAGGTGGCGCCTTCAGGACTGACTTGGGCACTGAGGCGACTGGATGAGAGTGAAGGACCTCACTCTGCGATAGATCAGCTACCGGATCACTGTGGAGAAGATCTTTTCAACTTACCCAGCTAGCATTGGGGTCCAAGAATCTCCACCAAACACCGTCTGTTCGGATCTCCTCCATGCGGCGGCATCGATTCAGGAACACGGCAAGCATGCGCTTGCGCAGGTCGATAATCTGCTGATCTTGCTTTGCGCTCGTAGGGTTCGCGGCGTAGTCTGCCATGGTATGCTTCTCGGGGATTGGGGGTATAATCAGGGTAGGATGCAGCCGGGTCAATGCCTCACGCAAAGACGCGAATTCAGAGTATCGTCGGCGCACTTCGAGGTTCTATGGAACAGTCAGTACCCCAACTATCGAGGGAGCGATCCATCGCACAGCCACATACGCCTGTCCGGATGGTGTAGACAATGTATTTTCCACCGCTCTCCGCGCTCTTTCCTGCATCAGTAATGAGAATAGTCATGCTCGGATTCTCCCAGAGGATCTGCTCGACGCGGCTTTCGTAGCCGCCGGGCTTGGGGCGCGGGACAAGATCGCCTCTGTCTCTAGCAATCGGCTCATTGTCGCTGCTCTCAGCTTCGCTGTCTGGGAGGGTATGGGAGCGATTCTGAGGAGCCTCATCGCTTGTGGTCGAGGGGGTCTGAGGGATGTCGAATCGCTGGTCTAGAGTCTCCCAGTCGGCATCAGTACTGTCTGAAGAATCATCCAGATCTATGGTTTCCATCATTTTCTGAAATCTTCAAAACGACGAGGATTGAGCTGGGGTAGAATCGCGACATACACTCACGGGTAGTAGGAGAGGCTGGGTTGGCAGAAGAGGAAGTCAGGCTGTCTCTCCGGTCAAAGCCCTCGGCATAGGGATTATTATCCTCATCGTTCCACATCGTTTCGGTGTCGGATTGGAAGGAATAGCAAACAAAGCTATAGGTCGATATTCAATCGTCCAGAAGGGTTTGCAGTCTCAAACGGGATGCGCAATCGGGGATGCGCAGCTGAGCCGGGAGCTGCGGGGGGGAAGAGGGGTGGGAATGATGGAAGGCACTTGTCTGTCGGCGTGCGACAAGCATGCGGTTGATGATCGCAACGTCCGGTTAATGTTGAAAGCTGTCCCAGAAAAAAGTGAAAGGCTTGAGGCTGACGGATTAAAGGTCAGTTGAAAGAGAGTTATGATACGGACAAGCAGACTTGTCGGGCGGCAGCGTGGGGAGAGGTGATCGGGGCTGCGCGAGGTTGGACTAAGGTGAGCTCCAGGGTGCAGCAAGTGCCTTTCCGGCCGGAGTAGCAGGCAATGACGAAGCCACCTCCCCTGGGGGCCCTGCTTCTGCTGCTTGCTGCTTTTGTCATACGCACCCGGACAAGGTATCTCACCTTCATCGCGCACGGGCCAAAGTGACACAAATACCTGTCTTACCAAGTTACCCCTGCTTTACCGCAGTAAACATCCCGCTGGGCTTCTCTGTGCTTTCCAACTCATGCACATCTCGGCATATCTTATGAACCACAGCTGCACAAATCTCTGAATTCCATTGGGCATGGACGAGCCGTCTGTCTGCATTGCTCTACATCCTTGCAGCACATCTGAACCCTTATTCCTAACCCCAATACCTATCTAAATCGGTTCTAAACAAGCTTTGGTGAGGCAAGTGGCCAGGTACACATGCTATTCCACCTATCTTGTCGGGACCAAAACCGCCAGCCCTTAGCCAGAAACCAGGTCGCTGTCTGAAGTGCACGATACTTCGTAAGGTCCGAACCTTGTTCCATAGTCGTTCCAGGGAACCCCATTTTCGTGCATCAACCGTTCTTTTTCGCCGCCCGTTCGTGTCAAAAACACAGTCATAAGTCTTTCACCGTAACCTAGTACGCTCTGCTTGATGGCTTCCTTCGCAGCTGCTCAGGAGCATACTTACCACCGCCCTGGTGGATTGGTCTCGGAGGAGACGGAGGCGGCGAGTCGTCGCTCAGCGAGTCACTGGTCTCCGTGACATCAGAACAAGACACGTCGAATCTCAATATCAGTCAGCATCCACTTGTCATTCCTTTAACGATTCATTTCATGTGGCTCACCGAAGCTCTTCAGTTCTACTCGATAATCTCCGTAAGTGCTGGTTGGGACTCGAGCTCTGGTCATGTTTCTTCTCTCTTGTTTTGACCGGGCTGCTTTGAGGATCCGGTACTGGCTCCTTCAGCGTCTCGGCAGAATGTACGGCTGTGCCTAAGACGTCTGGATGATCTCGACTAACTTCGCGGACTGCGTTCTCCTTGGGGCTATGTTTATCAACGGATTTCCCCTGCTGCCGCTTTCTATCAATCGTATCAGCTCACGGTTCTAATCAAAGATGAAGAAGTGCTTTACTCTTTGCCCTTGCTCGAGCTGGCTTCCGCGGCCATTGGCGAAGTGACGGTGCGACTAGACGCGAAGTCCACATGATCGCTGGCCAGGTCAGTAGATATCGAGAGCTCAGGCTGAGATGTATCTTACCTATCTTCTTTGGCCGAGGGCTTCTGATCGTTCTTCGTATTGCATAATCTGGCTCCTGCAGCTGATTTTTTTCCATTCTTTAGGGCACTGTGTCTCGTCAGCTCTCCATTAATGACTGTAGTTGAGAGATCATACCTCTTAAGGGGCTTGGCGACAGGGCGACTAGGATAAGTTCCAGCAGTTTCGGTGTCTTCGCAGAGCGGTATGGAAGTCGGACATGTCTTTGTATTATCACGCTCAGCCTGAACTTGTTTCTTGACCGGAGACTCGGTGGTGGCGGCCTTCCCCCGCGGTTCACATTGAACTTCGCTACCCGAGTTGGCTGGGACTGACAAAGCATCCTGTATAGTTGTAGGAGTGACGTAGTCGTCACTCTGGACAGTGGCAACCGCGGGAGACACTTCAAGCGGTCTCATCGCGTCTGCTTCATGCGCTGCAGTCCTCTTGATCCGCATTTCAGGAGAAGGCGGCGTAGCAACAGATGTCGCTGAGGTCCTCGAATGGTGACTGCTGCGTATGGATGGAGCTCGGGTTGAGTCCGAGTCAGAGCTGGCAATGGTTGACGCTCTACCGACTGGGTCGTTGAACAGACTGAAGAGCCTTCGGGCAAGTGATAGCCTTCTTCGCGGGGGCTTTTGAGAGCGCTGCTCACTTTGCTGAAGGCCAGGCTCCTGTTTCCATGGATAATGAGGGTGTTGCGGGGCTAGAGGATAAGGCTGCGGTTGCTGTTGGTACTGGGCATTGATCGGGAATGCCGGGACTGCAGAGGGCTCTTGAGAGTTTCCAAATGCTTGCGCTCTCATCGGATAGTACTGATTTGCCTGGTTCGCCTGATAAGCCATCGGATAGGGGTAGATCGGTTGAGGTGGTCGGAATGGCATCGGCATTGGCATGGGAAGGGGAACCGGGACTGGCAGAGGAGGAGGTGGAGAAATAAGAAGAATTGTCGGATGAGCGATCAATACTTGAGGAGGCTGTTGCGTGCCTGTCAGTCCCTCATGTCTGAAGAAGAAGCGCGAGTGCTGTGACTTGATAGAGGCCGCTTGGCTTCTGGGTCTCGGTCGTCTTCTGGTCCGGACAAGGATGAGGTCACCATCAACCCAATTGTCCTGCTTCTTTTTCGATCGTAGAAAGAAAATCAGACCAAGAAAGAGAGATAGGAATACCACAACAATGGTAACAAGAACCCCAGCCTGCTGTGCTTCACTGAGGCATCCCCATCCAGAACACTGAACTTGAGATCCTGGCGGCACTGGAGATACTGGGGGCAATGGACCGCTTGGTTCCTCAACCTGTCGGTCTGTCAGGAATTTGGTGACCCAACCGTGAACAGAATCCTCCAAAACGCCATCCCTGTCTCTCTTAGCTTTGGGTTGGGGAATGGCCGGCATGGTGAGCCGTAAAGAGGATAAAAGCTGTTTGAAGGGTCGCAATTGTGGTCGAATGCTGGCTTGATACCTCTTTCAGCTGAAATGATAGAGAAGAAAAGACAAAGATAAATCGATCTCACTTTTCGAGAAAGTAAAATCCTAAGTGAACGGTGGTGTGAAAGAACCAAGTTTGTATGTGGTAGGCTGGGAAGTTGACAGTGAAGGCGCGCCTGCCTCTCTTGGTCAACAAGGGCAACCTCAGTTGCTCCTTCCTCCGCTGGCTTATTGAACTGTTCAAAGCCCTATTTCAATCTTTATTCTAAAAGTATCGGCAGTTCAAGCTCGTTCTTCTAGCGAAAGATTTGTTGTAGGACCAGAAGTTTTCCTCTTCTTTTCTGCCCATAGTGATGAGCCAGAACTCTCACCTCTTTCCCAGTCAATATATGATTCTTATTCGCTCGCACAATGGCCGTGTCATAGAACGAATATCGACAGAACTATCCGAGAAATTCACGTATATAATTGCAATAAATCATCTTGACTTGGAAAGCTTGGCTATTTTGTAGGATAACTTATCTTGTAGCAAGTTGAAGATATGAGAATGTGTAAGTGAGCATTAAAGTATCCAGTACATATCACAGGGCTCTTAGTTGGCCTGCGACACCTGTACCGCGGACATCTCATGGCAGATTGACCAATCAAAACTTGAGCAACGTTGGTCAACAGCTGCGCTGCAAGAGTACCCCCCCTAGCGTCTCTTATGGACCCATATGCAAGGCCGACTGAGCAGGCGTGGCAGGCAAGTGCTACGCGACGGATTGATCTTTCTCAGCCTCATCCCAGCTTCCCCCGAATTTCTGGATTGCCTCACTTTTCATCCACTTCATCACCAAACTTATCCGAGGCATGTCATAGCCTCCCATCCGCCAAAATGTCAGTCCTCAGGAACGGCGCGATGAATGGCACCAATGGCGCAGCCAGCGCGCCAGTCAGTAAGCGGTTCTCTGACATCCCAGCCGCCATCGACGTCCCGGTTCAAGGCGAAGCCGAAGACGAAGCCGTCGAAATCGATCTTCTCGAGCTTTTCGATGATCCCACCGAACTTTGCACCCTTTTCGAAAACGAACGCGCCGCTCGAACCTACTGGATGACCGTTGCATTGGCCTACGCCAAGCAGAAGAAGATTGACCATGCTATCGAGATGCTGGTCCGAGGTGGAAACGCGATGCGCGACAACAACCCCAGAGAAAAGCTTAGCATGATTGGATGCCTCTGCTGGATGTATCTGTGGAAGAGTCGCGAAGCGCCGAGAGTGCCGCCCGATGGCGAGCTGGCTTCCGAAGCCAAGACGAAAGAATATTACCTGCAACTGGCGACCTCTACGCTAAACGATGCGTCGCGCATCAACCCGGCGTACCCTCCTCTGTTCCTGGCTCGCGGAGTTCTGCAGCTGCTTAGAGCGTCCCTGCAGACCCCTAAGGCGACAGGTCACGGGCAGGTGGACTCTGAAAAGGCGGACTTGTTGCGATCAGCACTCAAGGCTTTCGAAGACGCCATCCGAGTATCGCAAGGGAAGAATATGCTCGCTGTGATGGGCAAGGCGCGAACCTTCTTTTCACTCGGAAAGTACCCGGAGTCCCTGGCAAGCTACCAAGAGGTTCTGCAGAAGATGCCAAACTTCGTCGACCCCGACCCGAGGATAGGCATTGGCTGCTGTTTCTGGCAGTTGGGCTTCAAGGACGATGCTAAACTTGCTTGGGAGCGATGCATCGAGATCAACCCCGAGCACAAGGTTGGAAACATTCTTCTCGGTCTCTACCATCTTGACGCCAGCAGCCGCATCCCTACGAACAGTCCCGAGTTCCTGCACCTATACAAGAAAGCAATGACCGAGTACACCCAGAAGTCTTTCAAGCTCGACAAGAACATGCCGCTGACATGCGCTACCTTTGCCGGCTACTTTCTGTCGCGCAAACAGCTCGGCACTGTAGACTCGCTCGCACACAAGGCCATTCAGTACACCGACGTTAATGCGATCGCAAGTGACGGCTGGTATCTCTTGGCAAGAAAGGAGCATTACACTGGCGACCCAGAACGCGCCAGTGACTTCTACCGCCGAGCTGACGATGCGCGTGGCGGTGCCGAGCGTGGCTACATGCCCGCGAAGTTCGGTGCTGCCCAGCTAGCAGTGCTCCGAGGCGATCTCGGTGAGGCGAAGCTGCGGTTGGAGAAGATGATTCAGCAGTCCAAGAACCACGAAGCTATGATCTTGCTAGGCACTTTGTACGCGGAAGAAGTCTTCGCGAACGAAGACGCGGATGGCAAGGAGGATAAGTCGGCCGAGATGAAGAAGGCGATTTCACTTCTAGAGGGTGTGCGAGGTGCTTGGAAGGACAGCAAGAAGGGGATGTCTCCAGACGCTGCGGTCTTGTTAAATCTTGCACGTCTGTACGAGCATGAGTTCCCCGAGAGAGCTCAGCAGTGTCTTCTTCAAGTTGAGGCGCTAGAACTCGACCAAATTCCAGAGGAAGAACGTCCCACTGGAATCGAAGATGAGGCCGAGAACCGCGCAGCTCTTCGCAAGTTCCTTCCCCCGCAGCTTCTCAACAACATCGGTTGCTTTTACTCGCAGTCTGAGAAGCACGAACAGGCCAGCGAGATGTTTGAGGCGGCTCTGGGTGCTTGCATGAAGATTGGCGAAAAGGACCAAGAGATCGACACGGATGCTTTGGTCACCACGATTAGCTTCAACCTTGGTCGAAGTTACGAGTCACAAAGTATTTACGACAAAGCCACCGAAGTATACGAAGGTTTGCTGAAACGCCACGACGATTATACCGACGCCAGGACCAGACTTGCGTATATCAAGCTCCGTAGGAACCCCAACAAGGAGGGACCTGACGCCGTTGCCAAGCTGTACCAAGAAAACCCTCAGGACCTCGAGGTTCGAGCCTTGTACGGCTGGTACATGGGCAAGGTACACTCTAGAAAGCGCCCACACAACATCAACGAGGACCACGAATTCCGTCATTACAAACACACACTACAGAACTACGACAAGCATGATCGCTATGCCTTGGTTGGCATGGGCAACTTGTACCTGATCCAAGCTCGAGAGATGCGACGTGAAAGCGACAGTGACAAGGCCAAGAGGAGCGCCACATACAGCAAAGCGGTCGAGTTTTTCGAGAAGGCCCTTTCTCTGGATCCCAAGAATGCGTACGCAGCACAGGGTATTGCCATTGCGTTGGTCGAGGACAAGAAGGATTACAAGACGGCCTTGGGTATTTTCGTCAAGATTCGGGACACTATCAAGGATGCACATGTCTACGTCAACCTGGGCCACATCTATGCCGAGCTCAGGCAATACTCCAAGGCCATTGAGAATTACGAGGTTGCTTTGTCGAAAGAGGGCAAGGGTAATGATCCCGTTATTCTCGCCTGTCTGGGTCGTACTTGGCTCAACAAGGGCCGATCCGAGAAGCTCCTGGACGCGTACCACGAGGCGCTTAAGTACGCACAAAAGGTAAACAACCGTCTCCAGGCAATCTTATCTACAGCTTCTAACATGATTTGTAGGCACTTGAGGCAGCACCGGAACAGGTTCACTACAAGTTCAATGTAGCCTTCGTTCAGATCCAAATGGCAACTACCGTTTATGCCCTCAACGAGAACCAGCGGACATTGGTGCAACTTCAAGAGGCTGCAACTGGGCTTGAATCCGCAATCTCTGCTCTCGACGAGATTGCAAACCATCCACAGACTCCTTACCCCAAACACGACGTCGAGCAGCGTGCGAACATGGCTCGCAACACTCAACGCAAGCAGCTGGAGAGAGCCATCGCTAGCCAAAAGGAGTACGAGGAGAAGAACAAGGAGAAGTTGCAAGCCGCTCTCGAGCAGCGTCAGGCCGAGCTCCGGAAACGAGAGGAGGAACGCCAACAGGCTCTCGACAAGCAACGCGAGAGACAGGAGAAGATTAGAAGGGAGAGAGAAGAAATCGCGGCAAGGGACAGAGAGATTGCAGAGCGCCGTGCCGAGGAGGAAAAGGCCCGACAGGAGGCCGAAATGACAACCGACAGCGAGACTGGCGACAAGGTCAAGAGGAAGAAGAAGGCGGCACCAAGGGGCGATGGCGAAAGCCGTCCCAAGAGAGGATCACGCAAGAAGAAGGCCACCGAGACGGACGGCGAAGACTCTGGCGAGGAACGCCCAACAAAGAAGAAGCGCCGCCTTACAAAGAAGGAGTCTACGGTGAACAGCAAGTATAAGTCTGCGGAGATTATTGTCGACAGCGATGACGAGGATGAGGACGAGGATCCCTTGGACCGTGCAGAGAGAGCACTCGAAAAGGCCAGCTCTCCTCTTTCTGACGCTGAAGAAAAGGGCGGCGATGACGATGACAAGATGGAGGTTGACAACAACAGAGACGCCGATGAGGAGGACGACGAGGATGGCGGTATCAGTAGGCGGCAGCAAAGCTCACGGTCCAGGCGGGGCAGAGTCATTGAGAGCGACGAGGACGAGGACGAGGACGAGGATGAAGCCCCAAAGAAGAATCGAGCGGGCGCAGACTCTGATGATGAGGCTGACAAGACACAACCCGCTGCAGACACCAGCATGGCAGATGCTGATGATGACGACGAGGAGTAGAGAAAGCTCGGAGTTGCCCGAAGGGATTGCCCATTCATTTTGAGGCGACAGTAGAGTATTCCAAGAGTATTCATTCGACCTGGGAACCGGGGATCTCCAAAATTGCGTCTATTCTGGCGGTTTGTAGTATTAAGTATGATAGGATAGGGAATTACACAAAAAATGGCACATGACTTGAAACTTATCCGGAACTCTAAAGACTACCATTTTGCCCACTTCGGCGAACAGTCGGCCGAACCTGGAGTGTGCAGCTATCTATTTAACCTGCCTGAGCATATCCGGACGTCGACCAGGGGTTTCGATAGGGTGCCTCCATATCCGACTAGATCATCGGCCCTACAATGCATTCACACGTGTATCCGTACGAA